AATCCAAGTCGGAATTTAAAATATTCTAGATTTAAAGAGTGTGAATTCAATAACACTTAGTTTTGATCATGCAGATCCCGTAAAAAGATAAAGCTGCAAGCATTCAAACAGAACAGGAAATTATTGCATAAGGTGCATTTTTTAAGTATGTAGAAGTTTGTATAATTATTTATAGTATTATTCAAATACATGTTGAACAAATATTTCCTGAAGTTCACTATATAAAGAACAAGATATCGGGATTTGAGAAAGCTTCATTAATAATTTGATACACACTAATGCAAACTTTGCCAAAACGTGAAAAAAACTACAAATATTTACAGATGAAGGCAAAACACTACAGTCTCTGGCATGACTTGTGCTTGACTATAAAGAGAAAGTAAACCCTTACAGCTAGTTCAATGAACAAAATAGTGCAACGGCAACGAAACGGAGGTCATCGATGACTTCATTCTCCTTTAGATGAACAACCATTGCACATGGAAGCAGAAGTCAAGAAATCTTGCATAGGGAATATGCACTGCAATACTTCTTCAAAATATTAAAAAGTACAGTAATCATTATTATAATGAAGGTAGACTTGACTTAAGCCAGTGGTTCCCAACCTGTGGGTTGCGACCCCCTTGGGGGTCGAATGACTCTTTCATGGGGTCACCTGATACATAACAGTAGCAAAATGACTTTTATGAATTAGCAATGAAAATAATTTTACGGTTCGTGGTCATCACAACATGAGGAACTGCATTAAAGGGTCCCGGCATTAGGAAAGCTGAGAACCACTGATCTAACAATTAGAATGGGATTTATTCAAAGTTGTATGTTGGCATTAAAGGTTGGTGTTGCAAACTTGAGTAACAGTCTTCCTTACAGCTCGACAGATATTTTCTTTCCGCTGAAAGAAATATACTTCAGGATGTATCTTGAAATGTCTTTTTAACACTGAATGCTATAACTTTCCTCTTCAATTTGTCATTCCCAACACAGTGCACTGTACTCTGAGTTAAAATGGCCTATATTTCTATATTTCAGCTCACCAATGTCTAAGACATCTTTAAGAGTTCTTTCATTTTTTTAAAGTACCAATTTTCCTAGATTTGTATTTGGTGCATTCTACTCTCCAATTACTAATTGATATTTGTAGCTGTTCCTTCTCATTTTGAGTCATAGCTCATCATCTAAAGGTCCCCAGTGCTCCCTCCATCCAGTTAATTAAAGTCGATAATATTCCAAGGTGGTATATCTTCCATAGTGGTATTTTCAGTCTCATCCTATCTATGGGACCCACCTTCATGACTTTATCAATGTTCCACAGTTTTCATAAGGTTTTTACTGGCAATGCTTTTTTCAGAACATTCTTAATTTGTCTCAGTCCTTCGCTCACTGAAACTTGTGCACCAGGATCAACCCTGCTAGAATTTGAAATCCCAGTAGCTTAGCTTCCAGCATCACAGAAACTTTAAAGTCACCTGACTATGAACTGACAAGTAAGTGGTACAATAAATTATTTCATAATAATTTTAGATGTTCTTTTGAATAAAAGTTATCAACATCAGTCTGTTTACAGGTGTTATTACCATTGTGTTTATTCTTTCTTGCATATAAGAAGATAGACATAAAGGTATGTGGGGAAGAAACCGATCGATTTTTTAATATGATCACATAAAAGCAACCAGTTTAAAAGAGAAAACGTGTCTGAGATTTTCATCTCAGGGTTTATCAGTGACATAGAACAATGGGATGCAACCAAGACTTTAAAATTACATTCATATGTTCACAGCTTTCAAAACTGAATAGATGAATAATCATCATAAGCAGCCATTTAAAGAAGTGGCAATTTATGCCACTATATTTGGATATTATATCAAATTTGCTTAATTAATCTTAGAGCATATTAATAATTTTAAGAGTACCTAAATTTTAAAGAAGATTTTTCATTACAACTTATATCAAATTATATTAAATTATACTAGTTGAGAGCAGAGGAAAAGTTACTAATGACAATATTTTATAATAAATATAAAATATTGTGCCTCTTGTGTATGCTTGAAAATAGTTCTCTGCTTTTTATATATAATCTTCCTCTTATTCGCCCCTCCTATACTCTACCAAACATGCTGTGTTGGTGTGTGTGTGTATGTTTGTCTTTCTGTTTCTCTCTACATATCACTGGGTATAAGCAGAAAAAAATAACATTTTTAAAAGGAAGCGATGCTAGAAAGAAAGGAGAAAGAATAAAATGAAAAATATATTACCAGAGCAAGTAAGAGAAATACTTTAAAATATATTCCATTATGAAACCATTGTAACAAATATAAATTATTATATTCCAGGAGACAAAGTAAATAGATTTCCAAATTCACTGAAATCTGGAAAAAAAAT